GGAGCCAAGCTGGTCGCTGCTACTCCCAGAGGGTTGACAAACAGAAAGGTTTCTTTGCGAAATTCCTCAATCTCGCCGCTTTTGACGGATTCGCGCGTGATTTACATGCTATAATCATAGAGGATGTAGCAGACTCGTTCAATCAAACCATTTCGGGATCACAAGGTTACCAGGTCTGTCATCAATTCTTCACAAACTTATTACATTGAACAAGAATATCCAGATTGAAATCTATCAACTATTTCGACACACATTCATCTCTATGGATAATGGTGCTCGACATGAAGAACTCATCCGCTGTACTCCGGACTTCCACCACCGTACCAGATTTGACACTGTGCTGGTACAAAGTCCAAGAGGACTTCTTCCCGCACGTTTGCATCTGATATTTGAAGCTGAATTCTATGAAAACCTATGGAGACTTGCACGAGTGACATTCTTTACTCTGCTCCCACGCTCAGCCATCGACGATGTGGTGGGGATGGGCCGGTATCAAGAATGCTCGATAGGCTATACTATTTTCTTGGAGACTATCGTCCGTGCATGCTATATGACGCCTATCTCAGGAAATCCCACAGAACACTTGTTTTATTTGAATGATTGTATTGCTGGCGACGTTGATCTATATCTTCGAATGGCTGACACCAAGTAGATATTGACCAATTTGCTTTTTTTTATGGTATATTCATAGGTCTAGTTACTCCAGTTAAAGGCCGAGATCCGCTGAGCGTCGGGGTTTGAAACTGTTTCCTGCTTTGTTCCTTCAAGTCCCATAATGAATCACGAAGGCCACACCGCCCACTTCACACCGTCTATATCACAACCTCTCCAACCTGTTCCATTTTTTGTTGATCATTTTACACCGGGTCTTGCTCCAGTAGCCACAGGTCCATCTGATGTTGCAACGCCCGTGATGAACATTCAACAACATTCGACAACACTGACCCATCCACTACATAGCACTCAACAAGAGCAGCAGAGAGTAAGTAAATACCTTCATAGAGATGCATCTCACCATGGATTGGGCTCGGGCGCTAACTCTGTGATTCACGCAACCCTGTACTTCCCTCATAAGACGATGGAAGCGCCCCACATAGAAAAGGTCAATGCTCGTGAAGCAACGCAACAAGCGCAAATCACGGCCCTCACTATGCAGAATGAAAGGAAGTCTGGACTCAACAAACTAGACGAGGGGCAAATTGACCCCCCAAAAACCTATAAAGCTAGTTTGCGCAACTATTCCACATTCTTTGCATTTTCACATATGCTGTGGCCAGGTTGCAGTGCTCCTGCGATGCGCTCAGCCGCACTTCCTTGCAAATACGAGCCTGACACCCGCTTTGCTAAGACTATCGAGGAAACATCAGAAGAACAAGAGTTTAGAACGACGTGTGGAGTCTTATGGGAAGTACGACAATCTATTCCGGCATCCCTGATCCCCCAAGACAAGATGAAAGGTCTATTTTACAAGGAGGTCGGTATTGTTAAGCCATCAAGCCATTCTCTGACTAGCCATAGATGTTTGGCGAGATGGCATCATTTCGGTCATCTTACCAAAATCGCCTGCGTAAGAACGCCCAATCCCTACTCGTCCCGTGCTATAAAGATCTTCCTATGGATGACATCCTTCATATCGGGAAACATGAAATTCGTAGAGATAGCGCAGGATTTCAAAAGCTACTTGCCTTCGATTCATCACAGGAGGAAGGTTCCTATGAGCGATACCCACTTCTGCCACCACTATTGATCGAATCGAGCCCAACCACCGAAGATGCTTTAGGGGGAGCTTTTCAGACTCCTATCATCAGACAAGTATATACATCACTT